ATTTTGTCTTGGGGTTCAGCCAGTAGCGAGGCTTCCCAGGGCAGGTTGCCATTGGGGAGGGATCAGACTAAGAGCGATTCAAGATTTTCAGTGAAGGACTACCAAAGGTATCAGGCGGTTAGGAAATGGACAGGATCGCATATTTCTTCCTGTAAGTTCTTTGAGATTTTTCTTATACTTCCTTACTTAGATATTTTGTCTGCATGGAGGCCGTGTGTGTTTTATCTTGGCAGTTTAGATAAACTGCATGGTAAGTCTGACTAACTTGCAGTGCAATCTTGATAAAACATATAAAAATTGCAGGTTATCTATCAAGATCCTGATAGGTTTGCAGTGCAGATAAAACCTGCACTGCACTGAAGGTTTTATCTGCAGTTTCCAAGTTAGTGCACTGCTCTGCTATGCATTGCTATTGCAGGCCCCAGCCAGAAAATTTCTGTAGAAATTTAAACAGGGCGTGCCAATGTGTGCCCCTTGGTTGGAACTCTGAAAAAAATAGCTAACATAAATATTTTATGGAAAAGGCTAATATTAATGCACCTCTTCTCCCACCAAATAGGAATCCTGCAAACAGCAAAAATAATTGCTGCCCCAGTTTATTTGATTTGGTGTGTAAAACCAGTTTTGTCTGCTCGTCTTATCAGTAATTGTCATGTTGCCTCCTTAACGCTAGTGGGCGCTGTTTCTGAATGCAAACTTTTCAATTCAAACAAGATGGCAGCGCCCTGTGAGCCCTGTGCAGGACTGAAGACACGAATCCAACATTAAAAAAAATAAAGATAAACTAAGCGTGACGGCATTGTTAAATGCAGGTATGTTTAAAACAGTAAAATACTTCTTTTATGTCTTTTATATCGTCAACGTGTGAACGTGGACAGCGAAAGGTAACGTCAGTTTATTTAAATCAGAAATGTGTCGATATAAACCTATTTTAAAACCGTCTCAGAATTACAGCTTCTGGAGCCTGCAGTAACAAACCCAACAAAGACAATAGGGCATTTTCATAACGATAAATTGTATATTTTGTTCCTACACAGGATTAGTAACGAAGTAACGTTTAATACAGAACTGTTTGAACAATCATTTCATATAAAATAACTGATGGTTTTCTCAATAATAGCTGTCAGCCTGCAGTTACAAAACCCAAGAAAGGAATATGAAGCAATTTTCTTTATAATGATAAACTGGATTTTATTTTGTTCTGTTCAGGCATGTGGCATTTAAGTTGAAGTTTCAGAGAAATATTTATGAAGAAATATAGACTTTTATATACGCTTTATATATATAAACTTAATGAGTTTTAATGACTTCTGGCGCAAAAGAAGCTTCATTTTGAAACAAAGGACAGGCTCATTCATCAAATTTGTGTTACTGTCATAGTATCAGAGAAGATTATGCAGGTTGAGGAAAGGATGGATTAATTTAATTCGGAGCAAATTAGTAATGGTTGATCCATTCTACTCTCACTGATGTAGAAAAATAAGACGGAAATATACTTAGGAATCCAGAGACAGCCTCAAAGACATTAGATAAAGATCTTGGTGAAGAATGTTGCTGAAAATACAGAGAAATTTCTTTAAGTTGATTTTTCTTGTTTTGTGATCTAGATGAGCCATGACAGCTGCAGGAAAACCATCTAAGAAAGATCTCAAAAAGCATATCCAAAGTAAGGCCTCCTTCACATCACCCTTCAGTTCAAAATGGAGCCCACTTTTACCGAAGGACAAGGATTTCATCCTGAGAACTTTAAAGGACAAAATAATCGCCACAGGCCTGGAGAAGAAAGAGGAGAAAACTCCTCGTCAGTGGAGGAAAAAGAAGGAGAATAAACCAGATGCTGCTGCAGCTCCTGTTCCCCAGATAGGAGAGGAGGCGCAAGGGTCCAACCCGACCAGAAACGGCTGGCCAGGCTCGGTGGCCAGACGGCAGCTGGCCATCGGCATCAACGAGGTCACCAAGGCACTAGAGAGGAACCAGCTCCAGCTGCTGCTTGTTTGTAAGTCCGTCAGACCGCATCTCATGACGAACCACCTGATCGCTCTGAGCGCAACGAGAGGCGTGCCGGCCTGCCAGGTGCCCCGCATGAGCGAGACTGTGGCGGCGCACCTGGGGCTCAAAAGCCTCCTCGCTCTGGGGTTCAGACGGTGTTCTTCTGAAGACAAGGAGATGTTCAGGGACACGGTGGATGCCATTAAACCCAGAGTGCCTTCACTGGAAGTTGATTGGCTGACAGATGAAGCAGCTGCAGTGCCAGTTGAACTCACGGCCGACCTGGAGGAGGGAGAGGAGCAGACGGAGGAGGCGAAGGAGGAGGAAGGAGGGAGAAGAGCACAAAAACGGAAGCTGGAGATTGAATCTGAAATCACAGACTCTGCCTTGTCCTGTGTTCTGCGGCCTCTGAAAGTAAAGAGAATTGTTCCAAACCCTGCTAAGAAAAGAAGAACAAAACTGAAGAAACAGAAATGAGACCTTCACCTGTTGCTTCTGTTGTTTTATTTTGTTTGCGTAATGTTGAAACTTTGACAGCCATCAAAACAGCTTTAACCGTATCAGTTTTGATGAATTGATCTGATCTTTTTACTGTTTTGTGATAAAACATTATAGTTTGCAGCTGTATAGCTACGACATTTCTTCTTTTATGAACCTTGTTTGTAATGCTTAAAAGTTGTTCTGCAAAATCTAATAAAATACAATTCTGTTCAAGTTAAGAACGGATGCATTGTGTTTTATTTCTAAAGTTTTCTTCCATGTGTTGAAATGTGTGTATTAGAGTTCAAAAAAGTATGTTTATGAATATATGTAAATGAATTTATTACATATTGCCAATAATGAAGTGCTTAGTTATGCAATAGTCATTATTTAACCTTAATTGTGCTGATGGTACCAGATATCCACGTGGTGTTTTTAATCTGCTATGCAAACGTTTCTATAAAACTAAAACTCACTTTATGCTGAATTTGTCACCAAGAGAAGATTTTCATGTTCTGTATTGTCGTTTTTAAAGTTATAATAATAATTGCCTCTAACACATAATGAACACATTGCAACTTAAATGCAACTCGCAGGCATCAGAATGTGCCAGTCTGCCAATACATACTAACACCAGGTTATTAATTTGAATTTGTACCTCTTGTGAGGTCATCAGTCCAAATGTACACAGAACAGACTTAGCATGTTGATTTTTCTTTACGTTTTTGAAAACATCTTGTTAATTTCTTCAGTGGAAATCAAAACTTCATTAGTAGAGGAAAGAGAAAAAAAGAAACGCCTAACAGGAGGACATCTTTAAAATAAATCTCAGCAACGACAGAAAAAGAAGTTGCGTCTCAGCCATGATTCCTTTTTAAAATTTAAGAGTTTATTCAATCAAATATCCATGCTGGTATAGCTGATGTGTTGTAACAGACTGGTATTCGCACTGGGTTTATGCCTAAATGATGCTGGTACATGTTCTTCAGCTTTTTCACAGTTTACAATGGTTCTAGATTAAAAACATTGTTCTTCAGTTTGCCTGGATGTTAATTCAGAGATACACACGTCGCCCGACTTTGCAGATCTCCTAAAGAGAGAGAGAAAAAAAAAAACAAGGCGGTTGTCTCAGCCACTGAAGTTTGTGGCTGTAAACCATCAATGCTGGAGTCAAGATGGGAGCAGAACCGACGGACGGTTCATCTGATCCACTGCGGGCAACACGAGGCACGCCGTCGATGGGGAAACCGGTTTTCATTGTTAAATTAATGACTGTAGCATCTCTGAGAGTCGGACTCAGAGCTTTTAAAATTGAATAATTTAAAAAAAAAGCAGATGCTGCCCGTTTGTCTTACATTTTGCAGAGTCACAAACATTAAACCACCAAAGAGAATCTAAAACAAAAACAGACTCCTCCTTAGAACAAGTGGTTGGTCAAAACCTTTGCTCATTGAAGCACACAGAACTGGTAACCACCCTCAAAAAAGTATGGGTGAAGGGAGAATTGAAGTTGACATTTTACATTAACAAATATCACAACTTCTATACAGTTAGCTGCACATCACACTAAAACAAAATGACCCACTACATATTTTAATGTCTGAAAGAAAGAAAAAAAAAGATTTCAGAAAGCCAATAAAAGTGTGTGATGAACTTACAGAAATGTATTAAAAGTTTCCTCTGATTTTTTGATTAATTAACGCTTCAATTTATAACCCAGGTTTATCCAGTCCAATGGTTGGCTTTCAATGTTTCGACATATGGATATATATTGCACTTCTGAACCAGTGGACGCAAGTGGCAATGGTTAAACTAAAAATAGACCGTGGTTGCTTGACTATTCTATTTTGAAGCCAATAAGCCGTTTAATTTCTACAAAAATCCCAATCGAAATGAAATGTATTGCCTTTTTTTAGAGCTCCTGCTAACTGGGAAGTGTACCAAAAACAACAAAGATGGAGTGCAACAGTAAATACTACTACATGTATGGGTTTAATGTTAAATTACAAAACCTCAGCTTTATAACGTAAAACAGTTCCTCCCATTTGTCAAAACCAAACGTTTAAGATTTTTGTAAGAGAACCATTTGACTTGTTTGTAAAATTGTGCTTCATCGATGCTGTACATTCGTCATTAAAAAGCCACCGACTTCTACACAACTCAAGAAGAAGAAGGATATAGATCAGCCCTCACAAACCTGCAACTCAAACTACAGGAATAAATGTGGTTTTGTTTTTAATGTAAACTACATGTTGCAGTTCTTGTGTTGTCTTGTACGAGATTTCCTTTGTTACAGATATTTTACTGAAGAAAAAGCGTTTCGGTAGGAGTCTGAAACACTCTCTTACAGGTCCTAATCCTACGTAGGCCTAAAACAGCCACATAATGACCACAGTGATATAAAAACGGAGGGAAACGATACATGGCGCAGCGGCACGATGGCGGACTGGAGAGGATGAACATGTAAAAACGTAACTGCCTCGTTGATCATCATTTACATAGGTATATGAACAGGCATTTCATACCAGCCCCCTGCTGACAATGTCTGTAGAGAATGAGGAAATAGAAACAAAATTCACAATGCCAAGGCATCCTCTGGAACGTCCGAGCGTCGTGTTTTAGGAGCGGGAGCGCATGTCAACAGCACTGTAACTGTAAGGATATCTCAGGCATAGCATGACTTCACATTCAGGATGATGATTGAAGAGTTTTCACCTCTGGGCAGACTGCAGGAGTTCTTAATGAGACCACAGCCCGGTCACGAGGTTGGTTGACTTGTGGTAGATGTCACTGTTGAGCTCGGGCGACCCGCAGGTCCAAGTGAGGAGAATCCAGAAGCTGAAGTTAACGACGCTCGTTTGTGGAGCAGCTGTGAAACGGGCCGCTACTGAAGGACGAGACCGACCTGGAACACGAGCGTCAGCAGACTATTAGATGACAAACTAACCAACACTGAAAATACTGAAATACAATGGAACTCCTGATTAAGTTAGTCTTAAAACTTAGTAAAGACTTTTGTTTTCAGAGATTCAATGCATCATCCTTGTGGAGCAGTTTATAGTAGTGTGCATAATTAGTTTTAGTTTCTGTGTTCAGTTTATAACATAAAATGAGTTTGAGTTAGCCATTCCTACAGGCGGCGGTCTGAAGGAAGGAAGCAAGAGAGAAAGACAACGAAGGAAAGGAAGGCAGACAAGGAAATAAGATGTAGGACACAAGGAAAGAAGCACAAAAAGAAAAGGAAAGAAGAACTGGCAAAGAAAAAAGGAAGTGAGATAGGAAAACTAGCAAAACAACAAATGGAAGACACAAGAAAGAATGACCAGGACATCTAGGCAGTGAGGGAAAGAATAAACCATGAAAGTACAAATACTTATTATTATACTCTTATTTTTGCATTCTTATCCCAATCCAGAAAACACAGAAATTAAATGGCATACTTTTCAGGTTTGTATAGGAACCCTATTCAATGCTCCTTTCACATGGTTCAAGTACTGAAACATGTTTTCTGACAACACAGAGACCAAAAATATCCTAGAATTAAAATCGTATGATTAAGGACTCAGATACAGTTAACGTAATCTTTCAAATGCTTTGGCACAACAAGGAGCAGCATCACGTGAAATGTTCTTCCACTGAAAACTGCACTGCAATTCGTCTTTAGGACACAGGACTGCTGTCTTTTTGAATGATGAGATGCAAAAGGCATTGTAGTAAAATGCTGCTGACCTTATCAGGGTCCATAGGGGGACATTTCCAATTGTAGAGGTAATACTGCAGATTTCCATCTCCTATGCCGAACTTCAGCTTCTCCAGAAACACCTTATTCTCCATCAGATCCAAGGCATTGAAAACGTCAAAGCCTTTCTGTCAAACACACACACAACAAACACTGATGACGAGTCACCTTCTTAGGTTTCTACATTTAATGACACACAGCTCAGATATGTAGACACCGTGGAGACACATTTTTCCCCCTCATTCCATCATTAAATCTAACTAAACATTTCCAGTTTTTTTTTATTTGCTAAATATCAGATTTTTACCTCTAAACAATTTGTAAAATTTTGAGCTTGTGATAGTATAATTCACAACATTTAGCAGATTAATTTAAAGGCATCACCTCAAAAATACTGATAGGCAATGATATCAGGAGAAGTGTTGATCTCCACATGTCTGCTTCATTCTTGGGTTCAACTTTCTGAAAGCACCACGTTTATCTCCTCAAGTACTTATAGAAAATTATTAACACCATGGGAATGTCCAGATTAAAAATGTCAATTTTCAAGACGACCTGACATGCTGCTTTTATGAGCAATAAAAAAAACCCCATGAGATTTTATTACCACTGTTAATTTTTTATTTTTAATGTTATTTTATTAAAATGATCATATTTAATGACAGATTTTCTGCGTGGTAATTTTTTTCAGTCTTACCAAGCGGCCAACAAACCTGACTACGTTACGGAAGCTCTGGGGTCAAAATTTGAGCAAACTATTGTGGAAAAACTTGTGGAAGTAAAACCCAAGTTATACCAAATATAAAATAAAATGTATGTGGATGTGCTGAATTTGAAGAAAATGATCTGAAACATTTTTCAGAAAATATTCTCTCCCTTTCTTTACTCAAGATGTTCAGCAAAAACGGAATGATCCGGTAACAGTAAATGATCAAAACTACAAACAGTTTACTGATTTAATGTCAGACAGTGAGGAAAACTATGCGTATATGCTTTTATGCAATACGTGTAAATATCTGGCATCAACTGTGAAACTGAGGTTTTTGGCAGGAAGTGGCTCATTACCATTTTTGCCAGGATCAGTGCATCATTCATTAAGTCCAGTAGTGGAGTTACAGTATGAACGCAGTAGAATGAGTAAGCTGCCTTCAGGCTCCTATGTAGAGGGTGATGCATCACAGTTGAGGGTAAAGTGTAGAAACTAGTAAAGTCTGTGAGTACGCCACCTGCAGTCTGAAAGAGAGGAAAGCACATCTTTTTATAAGAAAAACAACAAAACGAGTTGCTAGCTTGAGGACAGGAAGTAGATGTACAGACCTCTACAACATAAGTGTCAATTATGTTTTCCTGTGGTAGGAACCAGTGAGCAACCTCTTCTTCTCCCATGGACGGTGCAAGGTGGAAACGTCTCAGGTATTTCTGCAGCAGCTCAGTGACCTGGTGGAGGTCACGTCTCTCCATCAGCCGTAGGCCTCGAGTCTTAGTGCTCTTCATGCAACACAGAAGCAAAACCATTTGTTTGATTTCTCTTACTATTAGAAAAAAAACGAGAAAAGTGCAATCATTTACGTCTGGTAGCCTGTAGAGCTTCATGGTTCTTTGCAACGTCATGTTTCTGCTCAGATGGGAAAATTTCACTTCCACGAGTTTCCTCGGGTTCAACGAACGATGCCAGTACCTGATGGGGGGAAAAAAAACAAAACAAAACAAAACAAAAAACAAGGTAATGAAATGGGGAGATGCCGTGCCACCATGTTCTAACATCGAGTACGGTTCGTCATACCTGCATGTAGACACGGGTTTAGGCAGCACAACTCCGGCTGTGTACACCGCCTGGAATATTCCCTCCAGGTTCACCCTCCGTGTTATCTCTCGGATCAGCACAGGAGCAACGCGCTTCGAACGCAGCTTCTTGTGAACACAGAGGAAGTTGATTTCTACCATCTTCTTTGTCCTGCACCAACAGGGACAAACAAGGGTTGAATCCCTGCCTGACAGACTGCAGAAACCTATAGACCCGGTTGGATGAGCTCACATGTCATAGACGCGTATGTCTGCAGGGATGGCACTGATGAATCCAACAAGCTTCTTATTTGAGGACACTCGTACTCCACAGTGCCACTGCGGTAACCAACCAGGTGGACGCAGAGCCCTGAGGGACAGTGACACTTTCAGCAAGTGGATAATAAAGTAAAAGTAAAAGGGCTGGTGAGAAGGTTACACTGATTCGTCATGAAAATGTACATCTTATTAATTTGGAGCTTTTAAAGATTTGCTTGAACTTTTCATTGTTTCAGCGTGGAACAATTACGCAGCAGAAAAGTTCAGTGATTACCGTGCATTTTATTTAAACTATGCAGGCTGAAAAATATGCCAAACCCTTTAATCAGTCTTTTTGTTGTTCCTGCATTTTTTCCTCAGTCGCTTTGGTTCATTTCTCAGATAAGAAGTAACTTTTTTGGCCATGACATCAAGCGTGTGCTTGGAGGATTCAAGGTGAAGCTTTCAAACCCAAGGATAGCTGTGCAGCTGACGGGCACGGTGGGGGTAGCATCATACTGAGGGTTTGATTTTCACAGCAAGTTGGAAAGATTTCTGGACCATAACTTGTCCCAGAATTTATAGAGGAAAGCAATAGTGTTGTTTTGAGACCATTTTCAAGTAATATGTTAATCGCATAATAACACAAGTACACAAATATCAATAAAATTTTATTTCTAACGAACAATTTTCACTGGAAGACATTTTATATATCCCAAACAAATAGAACAACTGAAATAACAAAGTAAATGGATATTAAAGTCTCCATAAACAAAATTATTCCTTGAAAAAAGGAGCAAGTGGAGACCAATGTGCCAGACTGAAGCTTTTTGTTATTCAGTCTTTGGTTAAATGAGAGAGACAAGAGAAAAACAATCATGCAAACGAAAATCAGACAGAATTGGTTTTGTAGCACTTACAGCAAACTAATGATAAAGCGTATTTCTAATCTTCTGACATTAAGCTCCTGAAACGGCCCTAACCTTAACCCATATTGAAAATTTGCCGTTTGAGCTTAAAAGCTAGGTCTGCGCCAGCAAGCCAGTCAATTTTAATGAAGTACACCAATCCTGTCAATAATGGAGGTTAAATAGCCACACAAAAATATAACAGAGCCTCGTTGATGTCTACAAAAAGGATGTGGCATCTCTGTAAACTTACTAAAAGACAGTTCTAATATTAGTGAAGGTATATGTGTATTTTTTTTTTTGACTCAGCATGTGTAATTTATCCCTGCAAGGCCTAGAGAAAATCTGAATAAAGTCAAATTTTCACACCAAATTCTGCTTAAAATTACTTAAAGTTGTGCCCTACCCTAAAGATATATAATGGTTCAAATGAAATTAAAGCAGACATAATATTAATTTACAATGAGTGTATGTAAACTTCTCACCAGCACTGTAAACAAACACAGGAGGTACTTACCATTTGAGAAAGTTTGGTGAATAATCAAACCTGAACATGTTGTCATCATCCTCCACATAGTTTTCATTTAACAACGTGTACAACTCTTTCAACTACAACCAGAAAGACACCTTCAATTAGATAATTATCAGTGACCTCATTAGTTTCTTCTATCCGATACAAGCATCCCACTTACTACATCTGCATTACTAAGATCCAAGGTGTCCCACATAAAGCCTTGAGGTAAAGAATATGGCTCCTGTCTGATGTTTTCTTTGTCAGCTTCAATTGGACCGTGGCTTGTCACGACTTCATCTACAAAAATAGCACATCTCTCTCTCAGTGGTGAATTATTTTCCAAACAACACAAGAAGAAGGAGAACATTTTCTATATTTTAAATTTCAAAAAGCGGAAGAGTCTTTTTTTAAAAATAACACTGCAGAAGAGCTGAGAGGTTAAATCCTGCTTGCGTTGGTCCTAAGGTGACCAGGCGTCCCCCGTAACATGAGCCCTGCTACAAAGATGGGCAAGAGCTGGGATGGAAACTGCTCAATATAATGACTCACAAAGGAAAAGCTTGGATGTGCAGTATAGCTAACACTCTTCTGCAGCACTGCACCCTGAGCAACTCATAAGGATGAAATAAAAGTCGTTAGTTGGAAAATTAATGCCCTTCGTAAACAGTTGCTAAACAAAACAGCGTTTACTGCAGCACAGCAGCCATTGATTGTGATTTTATTTGCTGACTTTATTTGAAACTTACTTAACTTTGGGACAGGCTGGGTGTCCCAGAACTGGTATTTGTGCTTGGTTGCCTCGTCGATACTCTTTGCTGGACCCTGGCAGGACAGCAGTTCCATGGCTCTTTGGATGTCCTGGAGCTTCTGAATGGGCAAGCCAGGGTTCTGAAAACATAAAAAAAAAAAAAAAAGATATATATGTCTTATACATATAAGCTGCTTTGGTCACGCAATTTTTTCCTGCACAATATGTGACGGTTTGATTGCTTTTTTTAAACTAATTTGGGTTTCTGGACTCAAGCCTAGTTTATAGAATAAGTAGGAGTTGAGTAAGCTTGGTGTTGGTTATTATTGCAAACAACTGTATATCCTCAAGTTGTAGCCTACCTGTAGTGCATTACAGAAGTATTTATACCTTGAACCTTGTCACATTTCTCCACTTTACAACTGCATACTTCAAAGTAGTGTACTAGTAAAGTTCAGAGCAAGTGATTTTCTTCACGTGTTATTTACCATAAAGTAAAAAAAAAAACATTGTTCAACACATCACCACAAAATGGAAAGAATACAGCACAACCTAAACTGATAGAAAGGGTGAGGAGAGAAATATGAAGCATCCAAAACTTTTTGTGCAAATTACAATGTGGGATAAGAAAAGGAATTTTATCACCCAACCACATCATGGTGTGGGGGATGGATGTCCTCCTCAGGGGCAGAGAGAGCTGGTCTGTTGATGGAAAGATGGAGTTTAAACTGCACAAAAGATACAACTAAGGCGACTTCTGAAGGCAACAGGTTGCCTTTATTTAGGGGTATGAGAGTAAAGGACAATGAATATGAATGCACTCAATATTATTTGCAATTTTAGTTATAAAATCAATTGTTAAAAATGCACGACTGGTCTTTATAACTTTACAATTATACTTTGTGTTGGTATGTCATATAAAATCAAAATAAAAGACATTGACGTTTGTCATTATAAAGAGTCAAATTAAAAAAAATATTCAAGAGGTATGAAAAGTTTTTTTCTTTTTTTACAGCACTAATATGATTCAGTTCTACAGATCCACTGTCATCACCATACCTTGATTTCCTGAGAGTCAGAAGCAGAGTCAGATTTGGCTCCAGAGCCCGAGCTGGGCTTCTCTTTTTTCCTCTTCTGCTTCTTCTTCTTCCGCTTAGCCCCCAGCTCTCCCCCCGGACTGCTACACAGATACACACACACAGGACAAAAATTACTAACTGACTCTGCTGGATACACACATACAAAGCTAACCTCAGTTACAGCAGCCACTGACAGCTGAGCTACTTGCTGTTAGCCGACTAACGGTTTGCCCTAATGGCTGTCATGTCATCCAGGCGGGTAAAATAACAGAAACTACTACAAAAAAGGTCAAATATTCTAGCGACATAAAACAATTTAAACTAAAAAAATGTAAAAACTCTAAACAATTGCCTGTTTGTCGCTTAGTTCTGTTTGTGTCAGCTAACATTGACTAGCTAACTGCGCTAACCTCACACATATAAACAGGCTGCTCGCAATACCGTTAGAGCATTTCTCCCCCCGCACCCGACGGGACAGGCCACCCTCACCCCTGCATATGCTCATTCTCCTCTTCGTTGTCTCCGTCTATCCCACACGTATCCTGGTCGTCCAGCTCCAGGCTCTGCTGGCTGGCCGCGGACTCACTGTCCTCCGCCATCATCAAGATGCTTAAAAAACTGCCAGCAAGCGTTTTTTTAGAGGCTCACTGACAGGAGGCGAGAGATGGGGAAAAAAAAATAAAAACAAAGAAAGTATCACGAGGGAAATAGCACCCCCTGGAGGATAAGTGAGGTGGAACAGACATTTATCGTTTGGCAAAACTCCCAAATACACAGCGGCGGTTCATGACCAAATTTACCAGGGGGAATAGAGGTCAATGTTTTTTTGTTTGCTTGTTTTAAGCAAACAAAAATGAGGGCACAGAACGACAAAAATGAAAAAGAAAAACCAAACGGGGGGCGGAGGGAGGCAACAGGCTTTACTTGTGCCCCCACCAGACTTAGTATTGTTTATTTATTTTAGTTTTTTTAATCATTGCCTTTAAGACTTTAAAGTTGGTGTTGGTAGGTATTAATCTACCAGTCATCCTATAACACATAACTATCAGGTGATATTTTCAAATTTCCCGTCAACTTTAAACATTTTTTAACTCTAAAACATGCCTGCTGGCTGGATGATTTATTGATCATGATGTGCAGTGTTAGTTTTACTTCAGATGTTACATAACGCATGTAGACCAAAAATACAATTTCTCTCATTTCACCAAACGCTTTCATCCATGTTTGCTGTATCCCCTACATGGCTTGTGGTAAACCGTAAATAACTTACGCCACAAATAATTCCAGCTTGGTTGTTTATTCAGAATAACAGGCTTAAAATATAATGCAACCAATCGATTTACACCCTCAGTATTCTGTATTGCTGCTCCACCTGGAACTGGAGGTCGTTGTGGGACACTGTGAAAAAAACCCTCATTCATTACACCAACTCACAAATGATTTCGACAGAGCAGAGGTAAGAACACAACTATAGACACTCCATAACATGATTACTATGGATGCACAAATCTTGGTTGGATTGATGATTTTATAGTCAGACTCAGAAGCATCACAAATGGACACTACCATGTTTTCAAATAATAATAATAAAAAAAAAACACACTGAAATAAACATTCATTCTCCAAAAACCAAAGGACAGGGTAGCTTCACGTACAATCACACTTAGCTTCATCTTTCCTGAAAAACCTACTTACTCTCAGGGAATGCCTTGCTGATTACTGTAAAGGCTTTGAGGATTGCAGCAGCTGGTAGACATTTTCTGAAATGTCTGCAGTGTAGCTGTAGTAATATCTGCGTGCTGAGGAAAGCACAATGCATGCTTCCCTTCACAAGGCAAAGAGAGAGGGCTGAGGTAGAGGAGGAAAGCTAAAGGCAAAGCAAAGGTACAAATAAATAAAGTTGCAGAATCAGGTTGTTCAAAGGCACTTGGATTATGTGTGTAAGGAGAAAAAAAAAGCTAAAACGCAGCAGTTAGTTGGCAAAATATTACACAGCATTTGTTTCAGCTCCAACAATAAGCCAGGTAAGAAGAAAAAGCCCTTAATATGTTACAAGAAAGAAAAAAACTGCCCATTTTCAGGTAAAATACTTCATGTTGGCATTTTAAAATCATAGAGGTTAACGTTTACAAAAAAAAAAAAGCATCTGAAGCAGACGTATAAAAGTGATGCATAGCCTCAAAAATAAAAATATGCAACTCAGTGGTTCAGCAAATATAAAACAACCTTCATAAGATCAACTTCACAATTACAAAGAGTGAAACTATGTGTTTTGTAGTGGTGATTTACCGTTACCAGCAAACTGGCGTCACATTATCTGATTCGGCCAAGGAGCATGTAGTCATTAATTTGATCAGACCTAAACGTGACGTGAATAACCATCATACTGAAAACCAGTTAAAGTACAGGGTTCACATGTTTATATTGAGGCTGATGCTGCAGTAGGACTCAAAGCAGAGTCTACAGATTCCTATTAAACTGTACAGTTACATGTCCTGTAGTGCACATGTGCTCCAAATCCATTAACACCAGTCACCGTGGTTTAACTGGGGGTTTACTCTCACTTTTAATAGGTACTTCCTGGGATTTTGCCAATATGGCTCAAGAAAAAACGGCTGCTACGGTCAAGTCATCAATTATTTCCACCACAGTCCATTTACACCTACAAGGCTCCATATATATAAAAAAAGGCATATATTTGTTGTGCATAAAATCTCCCAATATCTTGGCTCCAAAGCCTGTTTGTCAGCCGCTCAGTGGTCGTCTGGTGGATGTTCCTGGAGGGACCTGAATTGTTCAGTTCTGGACTTAGAAGAGATCCCAGTGCGGAAATGTGTTTTCAGTGCTTTCATAAGAGCAAAAGCTTTGAATTTAAAAGCATTTATCCTTCATGGTGTTGAAGCAGTCGAGGAGCACTGGCAGTGGGGAGGTTTACATTTTTGTGTGTTGATAAAACAGTTTCATCTTTGTTTTCTTGCATTTTTTATCCTCTTCTGGGTGATTGCATATAGATTCTCTGTGTAAAACCATCGTAGTGTAAAATTCAAAGAAATCACAAGTTCATCTTCAAAATCCATCATGTTTTTAGTGTGAAACCCTCCCTTTGATGTGCTTCTGAACATTAAACACAGATTAATAAACTAGAATATCATTAAGTCACTAAACTGAGTGACATATTTCAAGTATTTGTTTGAGAATTTGATTGATAATGGCTTACAGTAAACAAAAACCACAAATTCAGCTTCTCAGACCAGTAAAAAGTAATGTTTAATAATAAAATGTAATAGTATGGCTCATAATATATTGGGGGCAGCTAAATTGTTCCTATAATCATCAAAATTAGTAGAAATAAACACTTTAAATATAAAACTGTGTGAATAATGAATCTCTACAAGTATTAAACGATATTCTAATTTATTGAGATGCACCTGCAAAGTGAATTTTAAAGCTGGGTTGTTACACTGACGTCACTTTGCATAAAGATTTGGACACAGAGAAACTTCCAGAAATGATTTTAGTAAATTATGGCTTGTGATTATATAATGAGGACCGACTAAAAAAATGTAAACCTCTCCTTTAACCAGCCTCTGCGACTCATTTAAGGTTGAAGGCCAGCAGGGGGCGCTCCTCCCTTCTCTGCCAGGGGCTTTTCTTCTCCTCTCCATCCTCATGTGCTGCATCATCATCTGGGGAGACAGACAGCAGCACGTGATCAGTCCTGAAAGTCATTTCCTCCGGCGTGGGCAGAGGAGTAGGAGACGCAGGAGACGCCGGGGAAACCGAGGGTGGTTCCTCTAGTATTTGGACATCCTCGGCTGTTTTCCCCTCCACAAGCCCTGATAACTGTTTCTCTCCCTTACGCTCAGCTTTGTCTGACAGGATTTTCCCGCCGTCAGCCTCTGGGCTGCTTTTCTCCTCAACGCCGCCTCCCCCCTCCAGATCATCCACGTACACCAGCCGGGTGTAAGCTGTGGCAGTCTTTCTCTCGGAAGCCTTCTCTTCCCGCTCTGCGTCTCCCCCCCTGCGCCCCGCTCTGGGCTCATTCAGGTCCACCCCAGAGTCCAGACTGGCGTCGTTGCCGTGCCTACCACCGCTGTCATAATCTTGCTGATCTCCTGAGCTCTGTGAACTGTTTTGACAGCCCGCCCGCTGGAGGTCAATGTACGAGTGGCGGATGTGAGCGTTGGAGCGTCCGTCCAGAGACACAAACCAAGCCCGGGGGTGAGGCAGAGGTTTTCCTCCTCTCAGCTCCATTAGAGTCTTTTCAGCCAACAAGGTATCCTCTTTGTTTATTTCAACAAGAGCCGTTTCCCCAAGAGCAGTAGGGATAGACAGAGACTCCGACAGGCCGAGAGCCTCCGCCTCGCCCTGCTTGTTGGGATCTGGGGTGCTGTCGGACGGGCTGGGCCCCAGGGGCTGCTGGGAATGAGAGGCGTTGAGCTCAGCCTGGATGGTCTCCAAGTCACTTTGCTGGTCGGTCTGCAGCAGGAGGGCCTGACCAGACAGCGGGTGTTCACCTGGGAGGCGCATGTAATGTGCGGGGATCACCAGTGTGGGGCGCACTCTGGAGTAGCTCTCTCCCGCACTCAGTAGGTCCACCGAGCCGCAGCAGAGCAGCTGGCCCGGTCGGGAGAGCAACTGAGGGTTGGGGCGCTCCAGGTGGTCTACAGAACGGGACAGGAGGTGGTCGGGCGCCCTGCACTCCCCTCCTTCCCCCCTGCAGGGGGAGTGAGGTGGAGAAGACGGAGAGATGCAGTCAATAATGCCAACGCTGGTCAGCTGGGTAGCAGACACCTGGCCGTGATTGGACGACGAGAGCGCATCTGAAATCTGGTTGCTGGACGAGCAGACGGAGGTGTACGACTGACGGTAGCCCCTCTCTGTCCCGCAAGACAGGGCCGCCTTCAGCTGGAAAGTCTCTGCAGACTGCCGGTAGTCCCTGCTGCGAGGCGTCAGGTTGCCGAGGGACGAGCCGTGGTGGCTGTTGTTGCCGAGAGAGCAGCGGCTGTGTTTGCTGAGGTGGATCAGACTCTGCTGACGCCGAGTGTCTTGGGGCTCGTACGAAGAAGGCTTCAACATTGGCGTGGTCATGTCAGGCTCGGTTGCTGTGGAAACGAGCTCCAGCTGCACCTAAGCAAAATAACATTTGGTCATATAAATTGTATTAGACTCATTCAGGGTTGAGTACAGATATGAAGCAGCGGTCTAAGAAAATAAGATGCGGTTTCTTTAGCAGAACCATTGGATACAACTTTTTAGTTCAAGGATCTTAAACATGTTACACTATAACAGACTCGCTTCTTTTAGCCTATTTAGAAAATTATACATTTTATAAGTCAAGGTAAGTTTTCAAACTTTTCCAGCGCAGCACTTTGGAGATGATAACTATACAAATGAACTAAAGAAGACAGTTTCAATTCACTATTATATATTAACACTTTTTTGTTGTCATTAACATTTTGTGATAATATTCTATAGTCAACAGCAGGGATAAAATAAATAAAAATAAAGCAACATTTTATGTTTTTAAACGTCTTTATCTCTAATAAATGTTCTCCCATAGTTTTCTGCCCCTTTACTTTGGCAAATAGTAATAATTTTGGTAATTCTGTTTGGTGTAACTTAACTTCAGACAGTAAGAAAATAAATGTGAATGTGTCTTTATATTATCTTTAAATATCTAGTTTCAACTATAATTGCTCCAAATTTAGGCCTTTAATCAAACATTAGATCGCACTTTGCTACCAAACTGTGCAGCCTGAACCTCAAACATTTTCAAGGATTTTATACAGAATTCAAGCACTTTCCAAACCCATAGTGGTTAAACATAACATGTGTAATCTTTAAAACCAAAGGAGGAACTGGAATGTAAGCTGAATGGCTCAATTGAACCCTAAAACCTGGATGGTTTTCAGTCTGCACAGGTTGTGGTGTTCTAGCTGCACAAGACTTCCCCATTCTGTCGCTCTTGCTCATCTTTGATCCTTCAAACTTAGAGAGGAGGTGTAACGCTGTCAGAGTGAATCCTTTCTGAACAGCCTGCAGGCATTGCTGAGTCTGACTCACTGAGGAGGCTGTCACAGCTGTTGATTTCAATTCCAGATACACTTACTACTTTACTCTCCACAATCTAAATCTGGGGACAGACTACATGACTTTCTCAGTCTTCACAGATTTTGGAAAGTCATGAAGTTCAGACTGGAAGTTCAGCAAATTATTGTTTAAAGAAAGCATTTTTATCTTTCTGTTTATATAGTATTTTAAATGTTGGCTTTATGTTAATAACCTTTCACTATTTAGGTTAAAGAGGTGAAAATTATTTATATAGCATGTTTCCAAAAGCACAGACTACACAAAGTCCTCTACAAGGAAAAAAACAACCAAAATACTAAAAGGCATCAAAAGGTAAAGGAATCAAATCAAAGAGTTTAAAAAGTCTTAAATATCTGAATGTCTCTCTTTTTTCATTTTTACCACTATGTTTATAATCGATTAGTTTATTATGTCTACTATCTTGCATTTATGATCATGTCATACATTCTCTCAAATATTTTAAGACATATTAATACGAGTATATAAAAATCAAATCATTGCTGTTGTAGTGGCTCTATTTTATTGGCTTTTTATTGGTGATCAGTTCACACTAACTGACTGCGACAAGATTCAACCTTAAAAAACACCCGAACTTGTGCTGCTGACAGGAACTACTGCAAACCTTTACTGACTTGGAGTTGGTGGTAACATTTAGCCAAAAACCTTTGACATGTAAAAAGCAGAAGAGTTCCCTTTATAAAATGAATAATTGAGTAGACAGACCTCATTGCTGATGAGGTTCATGTGGGACATGGAGGTTGCTTGATCCTTCTTCGTGCTGTCAAGACCAGCTGACAGAGTGAACTTGCGATGAGACCCGCGAGGCTTCAAACAGCGGCGTCTGTTCAGACACAGCGGAGCGCATGAGTTAGTCTTCCAACTCATGTTGTTTCTATATATTGTTGCACATAGAAACAACAACAAAACAAATCATTTTTCCCCACCATTAATACTGAGCAACCCCAATTTCTATAGTTGACCTGTAAACCCAGATGCTTACATTATTTGGCTAAGAGTCCAAAACAACGTAAATTTTATTTGTAACGCTACTAGAGTAGAAAATACAGTAAGCTAGGCCACTTTAAATTAATGTTCTTTACTGTCAAGGGGAGCTACTTTAGTGAAAGAGTTGCATCCTTAGTGTACAAAGGAGCGTTATCGCAGATCCTTCCTCTAATTCTTTTCATTTAAGTATGTCATTTCTAATTACCACACAGTATTTTTCAAATCATGCTTTAAATTTCCCCTTACTGTACAGTTTCTTATTCTTATTTGTTTGTTTTTGTATTTTTATTTTTGCGTGAATCTGCATTTTCTCAACCAGGATTTCCAATTGTAATCCCTAATAGCTTCGCATTAGGTCTGATCAAGGTATTTTTAAATGATTGGCTTTAAGGGTCCTTGACTAAGACAAAAAAAAAACAACCTCTTGTGAATCAGAAAGACATATTGCTGTAAAAAGTTAATTACTATACATACCGGCAGTAGTATAAGAGCAGGCCCAGCAGGGACAGCAGAATAAAAGCCATGCCTCCCAGTATGGCCAACAGGAACATGGTATGGTAAGCGCTGATGTCCCTTGCCACTATTGGACCTGCAAAAAATTAACTTTATTGACTAAGAAGACAAAGAAACAGCTCATAAAAAAGAGCAAATAAACTTTACTTATAATTTTGTCTAATTTCTTACCCGAGTTCAGAGGAGACATGGCTGCCACCCAATACCCGAGCTGGGGAGCGAGGTAGGTCAGAGTAAGCTGGTTCCCCACCTTCTGTACCTGACCCGAACTGCTCTTGATCCAGGCACCTAAACAGACAAAACCACATTGATTAAAATATAACTTGGCCAAAAGTTACAGTGTCAAAAAGAACTTCAGAAGAAAGTGACAAAGTGAAAACTGGATGATCCAGTCTAAATTCCCATCTGACTCTCCCACATTAGGTAAGGACAATGGAGCATTATTGTAATCTTGTGCAAGAATTATCATCAATCCAACATAAGAAGTGGTAATGTATACAGCAGTTAGCGCTCCACAATTTTCAACTTTGCATCAGTAGTTTTAAATGGAGAGAATGATTCAACTTTAAATAAGAACATATCGGTCTTGTAAACAAAAAAAATCCCCAATTTGTCGTCTTATATCTTTTCCCCCTGCCCTCATTTTCTCTTGTTCTTTCACAATATGGCGACATGTAAAGAAAAGGTAATATGCTGATTACTAATACTTGGTTAGTTTGTTGTGTAACACAGAACAGGACTGGATGCTAACCTGAAAAAGACCAAATTTGGTCACTACACCTTGGTCAATATTAGTTTTCTTTGAATAGTGATGTAAAATAAAAACAACAATCCATAAAGTGACTTTGATAAGAAGCCTGATGTACTATTTAAAAACACACAAAAAAAAAAAAAAACATAATACCCGAGGCATCACAGCTGTTCTCTTAGAGTAGCTAAGTTAAACTACAACAAGCATTTTATTTGCACAGTTTAAGGATATTTGACTAAAAGCTGGAAAAGTTAAACTTTTGAATCGAAAAGGCTGCAATATCCAAGCCCACCACAAGGAGGCAACCTGAAAATACCAACAGAGAGCCACAAAAAAGAAATCACTAAACACAGCAGCAGTTTGAGCAATGTCATTACAATAAAACCACAACAAAGCCAAAGGCACTGATTGATTGGCTTACAGGGAATGTGCACTTAGAGGAAACATTCAATGGAGCCTTTACACTTCTGACCTGATGTGTTTTAGAGACAAATAGACGATATTTACACAAACATAAACAAGAAATATTCAGGAATTTGCACGGACATTTAAAAAAGGGAAACTTAAAAGGGAGGTGGGGGAGTTTTAAAGAGCTAAAAATATAAATACAATAGAGGTCAGAGGGTAAAAAACATGCCAGCCAGAGGAAACAACAGTGGACAGACAGGAGGAATGGAAAGAGAGATAAGAGAAATGAAAGACAGGATGAAAGAAATGAGAGCGGCTGTGTGACTCAGCTCTCCTTTCACTGTGTTCAGGCCTGCTCGGATCCAGTGAGGTCCTGTCTGAACCGTTTCCACCAGGGACTCCTCTCAGAGAGCGGCTGACCCGTTTAATAGGGACATTTAATGACTCTGTTCCCATGCTTCCACACAATGCAACGCAGGAAAAGTAAAATAGTGACTGCTAAAGCTTTGCAAACATTTAGAAAGCGCACAACCCTTTCACTCGTCCATGCAAAGTCAACACAGCCGGCTATAGTTAGTAGCAGGCTCGTCTCAGCGAGCTGCTCCGATTTGCATCCGACTCCCACCTCAAGATGAAGGTGCGTCTGTTTGCAGACCGCAGATGCACACAGAGGCAGCAGGTGAACGCGATCTGTTTGTATATGACATCATTTCGCTCCATGCCAGCTTGACATCCAACAATGCAACAGCTCGTCCGTTATACAAGACAAACAGGTTTTTGTGTGTCGTCCATGTGGATATTTCATAAACAAAACCACTTTCATTGTATCCCGGCTTTTATCAGACCCCAAAAGCACTAAGGGATTTCAATGTTTCCTCATTGTTGGATGGTTATCATGGCTACATAACTCCAAATATGTATTTTAAAACAGCCATGTGTCCAGAGAGGAGACTTATTCAGAAGTGAGGGCTCTGTTGTCACTCAGTTGGTGAGTTGCTAAGGAACGAGGGGTGTAGCCTGGAGAAGGGTCTGGGCTTCTGTTGTGGAAATATACGCCGATACAGGCTGTGTTTCTGTCCTCTTTAGGTTTCCGTCAGAATATCCTCAGTAAGCTCTGGATGTAGATACCTTGAGCACTTTAAAGATTTGTGTCTAAAGCCTTTAAACAGGGTCTGTCAAACCCTGTGATTATTTTCTACAATGTCTGAAGGTATAGCTGGACGATATGGCTGAAAAACCTGTCACAATATAAGCATTTCATATCAGTTGATATCGATAATTATCACTAATTTTATAGTAGGTTTCTGTTTTAAACTAGAGGCGTTACTTTTCCTGTTTTATCCACAGTTTTTATTCCAAGCCGCTGTTTTTTTTATTTTTTAAGTAGTTATGAGGCACGGTGGTTGTTGCTAGGCAACCAAGAGTTACGTTTCGAACCGTGCTTAACTGTGAGAGTTTTTAAAGTTTTTTACAAATTAAAAATTGTAAAAAATTGTGTTCAGGGTGGTGTCCACTGTGCTCCCACCACACACAGCATTTTGCATGTAGGCAAAAAAGTTACACGTGCCGCCATCTGACCAGAACATCTTCTTTGACATGTTTGAAGCATCCTCTAAGAGGTTATGATAGACTATAGACAAGATTTCTTCCAATAATACTTTTCTTTTTGTCAGTTTCGATGGTCAGTCGTGTCTTGGTAGGTTTACCCTTTCCATTCTCAGATGGTGACATGAACAGAGCTGTGTGAGACTTTTAAAGATCAAAACACTGTTTTAAAACCTAAATCTGCTCTAAACTGAACCTCAGCTTTTTCTTTGACTTCTAGTGTTTCACTTTTCTGTCTGTAAAGTGAAAAAAAAAATAAAGGAATGCTATGCCTAATTTGCTTTTAGTTTAAAGTTTTTCCGTAGAAAATCATAATGGCAACAGAAAATATTCTACTACGGCTTACTTTATGTACAAAGACCCTCAATATGGCTGAAACATAAACAGACAACAAACATCTGCTGTCTTTTTCAAATAATAAAAATGTATTAAGCCAAGAAATATAGGGAAACAAACTAAACAAAACAGAAAGGAGTGTTTGTATGCAAACCAAATTCCATGTAAATGCAAATCATGCTTGTTATATTACAAACAAGATCAGACAATGCATTAGTCATTGCAGTAGTAGGAGGATAAATGTCATCCTCTGCTAGCTTCTGCAGCCTATATGTTGACATAAATGTTATGATTTCCTGTTAGTCCACTCAGCTACCACTACCAAACTATTTCAGCTCTAGATAAAACATTAAAGCATATCTTATTTTATTAGAAAAAAAAATGTCCTAAAGACCTTGTTTCTGCACAGGAAGAGCACAAATACGACAAAGACACAGAAGAAGTCAGGAAATGTGAGCCTAATGTGGCTGCAGAGGAATGTTTAATAGCGCAGGCTTGTGTAACTCCACTTATGATCGCTTCATTGTCTTTCAGAGCCAACTGTCCGAGAGGAACTGGGTGTGTCCCACAGTGGGACGTTTGATAAACACAGATTTCTGGAAAAACATCAGAAGGTATGTCGAGGCTTTAAGCGTTCATAAACCAACACTGCAAAATTATTTGCTATTGTGTAGTTTGAGATTTAACAGAACCGGGGGAGATTAAGCATTCATGGCCCAAACTTGTGATGCATAACACTACTTTGATTTGCAGATTAATGTGGAACTGGGTCTGGTCGCTGTATGACTTCATGAATCAAGTTATTCATTACCGACTCTGACCTGAGTGGCTGCACAATAAGAGTATGCACATGGTTTGTAATAATTTGCATACTGTGGTATTTTAGTTAGTGATTTACCTTTAAGTGAAGATTCAAATAGTTACATGAAGCAACCTTGACCTTTGACTTTTTCATCCTCAAAGTGACTCTGCTTACTAGAACATTTAAGCTGAATCCCATTTCACCAAAAGCCCCTCAGTCTTCACCCATTACCTGACATTTTTAAGAGTTAGTGAGTCCCAAATGTCTTTATTTAGCAAAAGGAGGAGTGCTACGGGAAATGGTTTAAAAAGTGACTTTTTGGTACTTGCAAATCACCTGACAACTGTAAATATTTTCTCAGTTAACATGTTTGAATGGCACAGTAATCCCTGTAATGTATAACTTCCAACATTTGATAGCACTGTTTATGGTTTCCCCACTGTTGAACCATAAAGGATATTTCTGTTCTATTCTCTTCATCCCCCCCATCTCAACTTTGTTTGATTTTTCTTAGATTTGTTGTGACTTCATGGAGATTTTAAAGTACAAATAGACTAGCTTGTGTATATAAAGCTGTGAGATGCCATCTCTGCACGTTTAATCTTAGACAAGTCTTTTAGCTTTCAGAAACTTTTTCTGAGTTTGAATTCTTTGAATAAATAACTTGTTTCTGAATCCAAAGAGAAAAGCCTTCAAAGATCCAAACCTGGTGTAAAAAATGAGAGCACCACTGCTGTTTAAGTGACCTCAACTTAAAGAAGGGTTATCCTGTGTCTTCGTCTCTAAGCCAAAGTCACAGTGGAAAAGAGACACTCTCCCTAAACGTCCTGACCGGACACTGAGGTGAATGCTGGCGGACTCGCCTGCGATCTATCGTTTCCTGCTATTCCATTTTTCTCAGTGCTCCCTATTAGAACAGATATAAATAAAAATTTATCTTTTGGTCATAAATCCCTGAATCGGGTAAGCTTTATTGTTTTAATCAGCCTGATTATTACAGAAAAAAAGCTTCAGATCCATCAAACCATAAAGTTAGAAATGGTATGTTTTATAATTACCTATTTGTCTTGGCTGAGCTTGTTTTCTTTTATATTCTTCTGTGATACGCAATCACTGATTAACATTAGTTGTGGCATTTCATACATATTAAAACACAAATCAATTTCAGAGGGTAATTGTTAAAAACTCAATAGAGAAGGGCAAAATAAATAAACCTGAAAAGCCTCGAAACTTTTTGATTTTGACAACTCGTGAAATTAGTTATGCAGATGAAATTCAAAAACATATTTAATGACTTAACGTCACATATTTCTCTCTACTCAGTGTTTGAAACTCATTCCTACTTACCTAAACGAGGGTCAAATCTCCAAGCAGGGATGTGATCATTTTCCCTCAAGTTGCTGTCTGCCGGCAGAGGAACGGAGAACGTGATTGGTCCGTTCACCTGCAGCTCCGCTCCATCGCTGGCCAATAGGTGTACAGAGATGGCTGCTACTGGAGTCAGCTCAAACTTCTTCTCTGTGCCTGCGAGAGCGCAAGTGAGAGAGCGTAAGAGAGAAAAATGCAGCAAAAAGGAAAGTAAGCGAGAGGAAGGTAACAGTGCAGGAGGAGGGGTGGAGACAGGAGCAAACAGAGGGGTTGTTACAAAGAAAAACAAACAACTTAGATAAAGGAGAGTCATTGAACCGGACAGGAAAGAAAGCAAGGGAAAACAGGAAAGAAGGAAACGGAGTGGAAAAAAAAAACCTGGATACAAAAAGTTGTTGAGTGTCACAAAACAAAAAAGCATGCCAGCAGGAAACATATCTGATATCTGGAGAGTTGGTCAAGTTTAAGGAGAAATGGGGACATACAAAATTATTATAACACATATCAAGACGTGGATAAGATTCCCTGAAAGCATGCAGCCATGGGGCTTGTGTTAGAACAGAGAGCACACAAAGGGCTTATTGTGTTTCAGTAGATGAGACAGAAAGGCCTCCAGAGGTAGTGGCTCTACTTCTCCTGACTCACTCGACTCCCTCACTGCAGCTTTACATTCCTCTCAGCTGTGACTTGTTAAAAAAAACAAAACAAAAACCCCCCCGCCCCTTTACCTACTTTGTGCTGGAGCCGTTAGCCTGACCCTCACCTGTGCTGTTGCTGCCCAGAACCTGCAGGTGGGGAAAGTGTTGGATGCGTGACGGCGAGCTTGCCACAGTAAGCAGAGCAGTCAGGTTGGCGAAGGACGTGTCGGCAGGAAGACTGAGAGCTCTGCGCAGGAAATGGATGCTGGGCTGGCCTCTTAATCCTTAGAGAATAGCAGACGGGTCACAGAACTATTTATTCAAATCAAATAAGGCAAATACTTTAAAGCATGCAAAAACACTGATGGTTGAGACCAAGACACTTCCCAAAACCATAATAATGGTTTCAATTAGTTGTTTTCCTGCTAACATTAACAACGTGAACTAAATTTGGTGGCTGGATTCTGATGGTTTCCAGTCTAATCAGAAGTTAAAAATGCGTCATGTTCCAGGCAGTAGAAACACCACATTACTCGCTACCAAACACTCTTCAGTGTGGACACCGTTACTGAAGGAGAAGTGTTTTATCAGTAAGGACAATAGGAAGAATGCGATGATTACAGCTATGAGTCAGTTGTTTTTTTTTTGTTTGTTTTGTATTTATAAACCCCTGATTCACAGCAACAGCTAAACAATGTTATCATCAGTTCAGGGTTGTTTGCATTCGCTGATTAGAAGAAAGATTAGATTTTTAGGCTACAATCAACTGTAAAATCAGCTGATTCCAGTTGCCAGCAGCAGCTCTCCTCCCTTAGACATCTAATGTTATTCTGTTGTGGACATATTCTACACAAATTTACCATAAAACTAAAAGAAATGGCTAAAATTACTCTAACCCTTTTAATTTAGCTTCCTGCTTCACCATGTCTCTTGGAAGCCAAAGAATGTGCAATTCAAAACCGTAACATTAGCATATTTTCATTTGCAAAAATCATTTTGAGATGTTTTGCAGGATTTGCTTTATTGTGTATACAGTTCATGTTAACCTGAATGACTAATATTCAATTCTTCTTTTGCACTTTGACAACTCCTCAGGACATAACTTTATTTGTATTAAATGTGCTACTTCAAAAAGATTCTCGGAAATGTTATTTGCACTTTAAACGGCAACAATGTTAGAATCCTGTCTTTTTTTTTTTTTTTTGAAGGTTATGTGCAGCAATTTCGACCTTTTTGTAAGACTATAATAAGGCAAAAATAAAGCCTAAAAAAATCTCACAACTTTGACCACAGTAATTACAGGCCTCAACAACAACAACATGGCAACATTCTGGAGGGACTGACCACAGATGAGCTAAAGGGCCAAATCTCGTTTGAAGCTACAAAAAGAAAAGAAAAGAAAAATAAGCTTTACGATTGAGGTTTTGAGGATTTCAACTGATGGAGAAATAACCCCCCCCCCTCTAATCCCTCCTGGAACAGCCGTAGAGGAAGACATGTGCAGGAAGTAGAAGATCAGGGGGTTTTCAACATATTTCTGCAGAACGCGTTAGATTTTCCATCTGATTAGCAAAAAGCTTGCTTTTCAAGTTCTGGGCCAGTAATGAGTTTTTGCCCACGGAGACAGACTAGCTCACAGATTTGTGCTTCCTTGGTTTACGGTCCAGATGTGCCCACTGTGCATTTATAAACAACACCTGGGACATGGTCCGCCATCCAAAGCAATACCAGAAGACGCAGGAACTGCAAAAGCCATTTTTGCCACATGCTGTAGAAAGTTGATGATGCTGCAAGTCACTCTTGAAATAGCTAAACCAGCTACAACTCTCCTTACTTTTCTTAAAGAGGTTAGATTGTTTGTTGCTTTTTCTTAAATTAAAGCAATGAACTGATTTCACAAATTATTCTCATGAACACAGGTATCTTATCTGCAAGTCCTCCAGCTTAAAAAAAAACAAAAAAAAAAACAACATTTGCTGAACCAACTTCTGCACCCAATAAGACATTCACAACCCAGCTATAATAATATTTGCTGAAAAGAACGGTGCACTTTAAGACCGAAACCCAGACACTAACAAAATGCTTGTATGCTGGCAGCAATGAAAGCAGCTCTAAAGTTTAGCTGAGTGTGTCCTTTTACGGATTAAGACTGAGCAGTATTATGAATAGAGGAGAGTAAGAAAGCAAAAAACACAGTGTACATTTTCAATAATAGTCAATAGCAAAAAAAAAAAAAAATACTTTGAGACTGTATTACTTTGCAGATTTTCAAAGAAAATCCAAAATTGGAGTAAAGAAAGTAAAGGGAAATTTAGTCACTCAATTTGTTTCTGTGTAGATGTCAAAACCCAAAAACACAGCAATAAATACCTGCATTTTTTCTCACCAATGTTTGTTTCCGCATGTTTTACAAAGCATTTTTACTTTTCCCATCCTTGCCTAATGCATTTTTATAAATTCAGTCATCAATCAGGCTTAATGGAAGTAACTGGGGATCGATGCCGTAAAGATAATGCACAGGTCGACCTTTTCTCTCTCAACCATTCTGACGCCTACTTCTGACATTTCCCTGCAAAATAAAAGCAGCCCCTATTTAATTTCTCACATTTGTTGCCTTTTATGTACTTATCCCACGCTTATCCATACGTTGCATATTTAATAAAATTAAAAAAAAAAATAGAGCGCATGTAGCCAGACTAAGGTGATGTCATTGTGGCCTGTGTTGAGAGCACATTCCTGAGCAGTGAGGCAGGCCCAGCAGCCTGTGAGTGCTCCCGGCTCCACTCTTTTTCTGGTGCTGTGTGATTTTTTTTTAACCTCCAGAATGAAGTCCACTTTCATGTTCCTTTCTAAAACTTGTTCTGAACATTCAAGTTTTAATGTTGTTTCCTTTTTGTGAGGCTGTTTTTTTTTTTTTTTTTTTTTCAAAAAGAAGCAATCCCTTCACTGATCTGTGTGTTCCCTTCTTCAATTTTCCTTTTTCCCTCCACTTTTTCTCATCTCATCTGTTCCTCCTTCTGTTGGACACTCTCTGCCCATCCCCCTTTCCAGCATTTAACCCCCATCCTCCCAAACTGCTCCACCCAGCACCCCATAACCCAGAACACTGTATTCTTCCTCTCCCCTTTTATTATGTTTATTTGGTGCCACACGCCAAGGTTTATTATCCCCAAGGTGCTCCTGCAGCAACACAAAACGCGGTGAAACAAAGTGTTGGAAACTGCGCTCCGGCACGTGCTCGGCCTCATGCTTTCAGGAGGTTTTCACATTAATGGAGTCTGCTGATTATTTTTTTCTTACTCTTTGTCAGACACAAAAAGAATGAATTACACCCCCGCTGGTCACAAACACACAAAAGAGCCAGCAAACAAAGAAAGTGAATTAATTCACATGACGAAGACAGCCTTGTCTAATGTAATTTGTCCTGAACAAAAAAAGCTAAATTACAAAGACACAATTGTGAATCATTTTCCGCAAATTGGATTTCTACTTCTACTGTCATTCAATCTACACAAATGACTTAACGTTTTCTATTGAAAGCCATTTTCTGTATTCATGCTTTCACGTTTAATCTGCTGAAATTCTAAAATTGACCATCAGTAAAAATGTTCAATGTTATTTATCGGACTTCTGATGGCCACAAAGGATGTTTTTTTTTGGCAGAGTTTGCACTGCTATTTTATGACAGTCTAAAGTGTGCAATGAATAAAAGGGGAGAGTGAGGCTCAAAATACCACAATTTGCTGGACTACCAAAGGCCTGGGTGCAGATTAAGTTTAAGGGCCTTTTTCATGAAATTGCCTGCAGTTTAACTGCAGGATGAGCCCCTCTTCAAGCTGCCTCTGCTAGGTCATAAATCGACCACTCCGGCTCCAGCTGGCCACATTTAACAATGATGTGTGCAAACAAAATTATGCCAGCTTGCAGAACCAGCTGATAACAGCAGATCTGTTGCTGCTGCAGCTCGCCACATCGAACCACATCTAACTCAGTGGCTCAAAGTCGCACCAGCCGGTCATTTTCTTATGGAAAGTGATGCAGCGTAAAAAAAAAGGGAAAGAAAGAAATTCTACAAATTTTTAGACTTATTTTCAATTAAATACATTATGCTCTTGTTTAAACTAATTTATGTTTGGCGGAGGATGTTTCACATTGAATGGAAACAGACTGTCTTCTCTATAAATCATTATCTAAGGCAAACGTGGCTGCTGTATGACAGCAGTTTTCACTTTGACAAATCTATCATACTTCATAACAGGCAGAGGTTGAAAGGTCAAACAGCCTTCCTGCCCTCTGATTGTTCCTCTGCTGATTTGTCTAAATATACTCAAGAATGGACATCCTGTGGCAGCCATTTGGTGCAAAAGTACCAAGTGGCAAAGGGGTGAAATAACCAGCAGATAAAACAACAAACATGGATTCCTTCTGGGCAGCGTTTTACATTCTTACTCCGAATCTTCTCTCAGTAACAGCTTCCACACCAAGAGGTTTGGCTGTCTGGTAGCAAACAGGCATGGTGACTGAAAAGATCAGATGCAGTTTCTGGCCAGCTGGTCAATCTGAAAATGGACCAATTTTGGTGAACAACCAAATTCTGGGAGGATCTCTAAAACCTGAGTGTGAGGATTTCTGACAGCATTTTCAGGACTACAAACATGTGTAACACGCCTTTATCAGCTGTAGGAAAGTTAAATCCACCTAAAAGCTCTTATGTACCTTGAAGACTTGACTTAATCTCCACAACATCTTCATACACCATCAGGGTAGCGGCTCTTTCTGGAAGCAGATCCAGACTGATGGAGGAGAACACTAGAAAAAGAAACAAACCACACGGTAAGCACATCGCTCAAATTCACTACCTGATTAACATTCAGTCAACTACCTGAGCAATATACTGATCGTTCAGACATTACAAGTCATTAATGTTGCGTTCTACATATTTAATAGCCCAACTTTCATCCTGTGTGCAGCGCAGGACTGAAACCTGACCCAGCAAACTGTAGCTCTTTCCTCTTCCTTCCTTTCACTCCTTCATTGTTCAGAGCTGGTAAGCGTGATAATCCAATTGGCTGCCGTTCTGTTGCCTCATAATAACCTTCCCCAAATAAACCCCCCTGCAGCCACAAACACATGCACACACACACACACACACACACACAATACTACAGGCTCTTGGGATGCATTTTGATGGCGTGTGTGTGCGTTACTGAAAAGGAGGCTTAGGAAGACCACATGCTGGGTTTTGGCATCTAATATAATAAATTAGTAATGGAGCACCCCACTCATCATAAGCTCACACACCTGACACACACATGCGGTGTCTATTTTATACACAATCTGGCGGAAGGAACTATACAGATAGTAGAAACATTCTCATTGGAAAACGTTCATCGTTTTCAGTGCTTTTGTTTTATAATATCTCACACAGACCTACCCGGCAATTTGGAGGGAGTCCAGGGAACAGAGTTTGGCACGTATCCCTGTCTGGTTGCGGTGACAACGAGCGGCGTCCCAAGGCGGTAAGGGAAGCGCAAATACGTGTTGCCATCAGCTGACGAGGTTTCTGTGGCTACAGAAGTGTGATTGGCGAAGAGCTGTATGGTTGCTCCGAGCAAGGGCTGCTGAGTGCTGGCGTCACTCAGATGAACCTTCAGAGTCACTTCTGTGGACGCAACAACAAACAGTCCAGTCAGAGCGCAGCATCTACAGTCTAAATCACAGTGAAAATTGAGTGATATATGGGTGACAAACATAGAGGTGTTATAATTACAGTCATCTAAAATACCATCGTCTCATTATCTGGGCTTAGTTTCTGTGCCAGACGTTTGGCCTCTAATCCACATCCCAGAAAATGAGAGCCGTCTGACCATTTTCTGGGCCTGAGCCAATGGCACTTCCCCTCCAACACAATGGACCATTTCCCTCTGTCAAAGAAGCCTTGGAGCAGATGGAAAAACAGCTGCCTTTATAAACAACTCTAATGGAAGTATGGAATAAAACTTGCTACATCACCATAGCGGTACCAGTAATATGAGTATATAAATAGATATTTCTCTACACTCTGCCGAACAGCAATGCAACACGGAGGGCTGATTGCCTCGCATGTGGCTCCCCTGGAGTGTCGTAAAAGAGTCAAGCTGATTTAGATGTTTAACTGGTTAGTCAGAGCATAAAAACTGTTTGCGACTGCTTTTGATTAGCACTAACAGATCAATATTCCAGCTTTCCAACTTTTGAGTATTGTGTAAACAGAGTGAATAATTTCACTTTTTGGATGACTGCGTGTTTGTTGACTGCTAACAAATTTAGCAAACCATTCTTGACCGTCGGCCGGGAATCTAAACAACTGGAGGGCAAAAAAATAAAAGTACTAAATTATTTTGACTTCCCTTTAAGAACTTAATAAACTGTTGCTCCTTGTTTTTAAATAGTAATAAACAAAAAAAAAAGAAGATGCAGGATGGAAGCATTACAAAAAAAAAAAATATTAAAAATGTATTAATTTCTAGATGCCCATAGTAATATACTATCACTTTTATTGGTGTTTTCTACTTTAAAAGATTATCCGTCAATAAAGAGTCACTTCATTTTTTCATCACCACATTTATCATACCTTCAACTTTATCATATTTGGTCACATTTCAACCACAACCCTTAATGTATTTTAATGTTACTATATGTGCTAGAAAAATATAAAGTAGTGCATAACTGCAGAGGGAAAAACATGATGCATGGTTTTCACCTTTTTGCACAAATCTGAAAATTATGATGCTCAGCCCCATTTACTCTCACATTTCTTCGAAATCTAAGTGCAGCTAATTGCCTTGATTAATCAGCCAATTAGTAATTTAATATGAGAACAATCCTCAGTACAAATCCAGCTGTTCTGTGAAGTTTGTTAGAGAACCTTAGGGAACAAACAGCATCATGAAGGCCAAAGGACACAGCAGACAGGTCATGGAGAAAGTTGTTTAAAGAAAGGTTGGATCAAAAAGCATTTCCCCCATTTTTTATCATCCAACAGAGCGTAAATCCATCAACTGTAGAGCTGCACAATATATTGAGTCACGACTGTCATCCCGCATTCGGAAAAGACTGCTTGGAGGCAAAATTTGGTTGACTGCTACCGCTCAAGTGACAAGCGCTTGATCGGTGGACTGGGCTTTTTCTACTCTTGATGTCAAACCCAGATGTGGATTTTTGTGACAAGCATGGTAAGGTTCATGAAAAGCAGAGATAACATCGCAACAAACGTTAAAAAAAAAAAAAAAAGAAGAGGAAAATATGAGTTTTTCATAAGACAGATTGTCCTCACAATGTTAAAAAGCAACAATGTTGGAGTTGAATATCTTCTTAGGATGACGCAGTCCTATTTCAAGCTTTCTAAAACATGGCGGTCCACCTAGACTGACAGGAGAAGAAGTCTGGTAACTCTGGAGTAGCTCAGCTGGGAAAATCTGTTGACATTGTCATTTGCAGACAGTGTGTGTGTGGAGAAAACAAATACCATACATTACTCTAAATACACCATCCAAAATTGATGGCGAAAATTCAGGGCAATACTGGATGAAAATCTGTTAGATGGTGCAAAAGACTTGAGCCTGGGGCACTTTGCCTTTCGCCAAGACAGAAGCCCAAAACATAAAACCAGATTATACTTTGGATAAAAGCATAGTCGTTTGACAGAGTTGCACAGTTAAAGTCCAGATCTAAATTCCTTTGTGAATCTATGGCTAGACTTAAAAATTGATTTCCAGATGCTCTTCATCCAATCTGACTAAGCTTGAGCTATTTTTGGATCAAATAACAGGCAGAAATTTCCATGTGTAGATGTACAAAGCAGGTAGAGACATTCCCCAAAAGAGTTCAGTAGCTGTTATTGGAGCAAAAAATGGTCCTACAAAATACTAACTTTTCAAGTATATTATTGACATAAAGTAGAACGTCTAATCTTCAAATATCTTTTATGGGACAATTGTATTTATCTGGAAATGCAAAAAGTTTTAAGGGGTCAAATCAAGCAATGCTTCAGGTTTGCTTTAAAATAACCTTCAGGTCAGTATGAGTTATTTCTTACAGCAAAATGAGGACAACGTAATGACAGTGAGTTGGACTTTTACTTTGCATTTTATCCTCAAATCCTGCTTGTTGTACAACAGAGCCAAAGGTGGTTTGGTTTAAAAATACTCAACTCAAATACTCGAATCACATGCTGAAACCAAACATCCATTTTATCCTCATGGCCCAGAGGTACGACAAAAACAATCTCAGTAGAAAAACACTATATTTTTCACAAACACACAAAGCCGCAGTCCTCCAGTCTTCGTTACATGACAAGAAGGACCCAGTCTGACCCATGGCGACCTCTCACTTAGAGCTAAAAGGTTCCTCCACCTCTCCGTCTTCACTAAACCGTGTTCACTCCCCAGAGCTCTCTGAAGCTGGATTTTGTCATAACTCCCTCTTGAAGCCCCACCCTCAGCGACACACACACACACACCAACACATACCTATCCTTGACTAGACATGTTCCCCACCCCCCACTCAGGGATCCTGTGGTCAGTGGGAAACCACTCTGTCGACATGGAGAGGAGAGTTCAGCCACAGTGCAGGCTCCGCCTAACAATAGTTTCTCTGCCGGAGAGAAATGGGTGGAAGGTAACTGGTGCTTAGTGCGAGGCCAGATTTGGCAGAACAGTGCGTCAATCTCACGCTGAACAGATGATTATCCTCCAGAGTGAAGATCTGCTTCAAGTCTTTACCTCATTCTCCTTTATTATATCACTACCACTCTAATGCAAGCCTGGATTTCTTCCCCCCCCCTCAACAAGAAAGTCTTCACTGCCTTTTATGACCTCACGTCCTGTCCCACTCCCACAGATATGCTGCTAGGGGTACCAGCTGTGTTCACTTAAAAAAAGAAATACTCCCCTGAGAGAGTCGGGCTTAAATCACAAGTACAAATCCAACAGTCTCCTCCCAGAGCTCATCCAATAAATCACTACTGAGGTGACATCATGGTTAAACAAGCTAAGAGTCTCCCTTTTTTACTCCAACACACATAAAAAAAAGGAGGCGATCAGTCTGGTCCAAGCCTCTATATTTCCAAATCTGCCTCTTCTTATTCACAGACTTCCTATCTGTGGGTGGAAAACAGAGGCATGAAAGCGTTTGATCTGACCAACGCTGCGATCTCAGATTAATTATCACCTACGACGGCAGCCAAAGCAGCAGGGCGGCTCTCTGTTTGGATGCAAGCAGAATCAATGACCACACAGAGAGCGCAGGAGGAGGACAGAATACATGTGCATGTTTGCTCATGCTACACCTTGGATTACGTTTTGGAGAGGCCATTCATTGCAGCACCTTTTACCAGAGGTGTAATGAGCTGGTAATGGATGGTGTGGCTGGCCTCCACTGGGTGTGTGAAATATTTAGATGCTGTTCCAAACGGGGGAAGAGAAAATGTTGTCTTACTTGCACACAACACTTAGCGTAATAATAGACACACTAGGACTCACTGGTGTAGCATAATTAGTTGTTATCTCACCACTAGGGGTCAATTGAGGTTTTAACAACCAAACACTAATTTCTTGAAATATAACCTCGTATCTGGTATTTATAGAAGTTACTCACCGGGCTTTAAATATATTGTATTGGATAAATTATCTATATTTTACATAATAATACTCTGTTAGTACCGCAACTATTTGCATGTTCGATGAATAACTTTCACTTGTGGGTTTGTTGAAATTCACCAAAAAATGGGCTGGTGACCAGAACCTGATAGATTTCAGTGCGACTAGCCAGACAGACTCAAAAATCAGATCAGTGAACGCACCAAAAACAATCTTCAGTCAAGAAGACATTATTGAGAGAAGACTACATGTAGAAGCTCCAAAAAAGGAAACTCTTATTTCCCCACATGTCAAACTGTGATTCATTCAGGCTACAAGAGAACAAGACTTCCTGCTGCTAACAGGAAGGTTGAACAGGATATAGCAAAGTTTCATTCTTCCAGAGCTTTTAATTGTTGTCCGTCAATGAACATGCCGAGTTTGGAAATGTTGGCAAACTTTTTGAAATCTCAAGAATGAAGGATATACAGTTTAGAGTCTATTTTGATTATTTATCTTTGGTGATGAGTCCAAATCTTCAAGTTTAGAAGGCATCCTTTCCATCACCCTGATCAGATTCAGGTCAGGATTTGGGTGGGGCGTTCCAGAACATTAATGTTGCTTTAAGTCAGAAAAAACTTGCTAGTCAAATTAAAGGATTGCTTTATAACCTTTATCTGTTAGGAGTATGAATAGTTTTGGCTTTATTTGTAAAAGTATATTAGAATTGTAATTTTAGAAGAGCCAGCATGTGCCAGTAGCTAAATACTAAATCTAAACAAGTAGATATGAGATACTAAAGGAGCTTTCAAGTGTCAACTTTGACATAATTTCATCTATGTTTTGAAATAACCATTTCAACACACCAAATCCCCTGATTTTTCTTGTCTTTTACAGGAATCCCCTGATGTCGCCTCTTCTCTTATTACGAATAATTATTGACTGCTCAACGTTGAAGACGTAAAGTCTTATGTCGTTCTTTTATATATAATAAAGACAATCTGTTATTCTCAAAGAAATGCCAATTCACGTTTTCTGATAGACC